CTTTACCCACGGACAGCATGCTTGCAGTTTTGTTACCCTTTATTTTAATACTAGACTCCTTCATGTAGGCGGTAAGATCAATATAGCAGTCCCCCAAGCAGTTGCAAAAGAAACAAAACCTATCTTCACCGAAGGAAATGATATGTCCACCTTGATTATACAAAGTTTGCATAAAAAAACACAAGGAAAAATGTTTTGCTAAAAGAGCAGAAGCAGTCTATACAGGTGGACATTGGACAATTGAAGCAAAAGGAATTAAATCATTCCTCATAGACAATTGCATACCAAACCCAAGAAAAGCTTTTCTTTAAGCCATCCATGTTCAGATCGACAAATGCTGATTCATTTCCTCTGATATATCTCTCCTTTTATATGCTAAAGACATTCACCGTGAAAGGTATAATTTAAAAAAATGTCACGTAAAAAATGTCTGGTTAATCAGTTTGTGCAAATGATTATAGTAGATTTATATAGACTCTGTGAAACCAATTATTTACATGGTATGCTGTATATATTTTATAAATCATGGGAAAATACCATATCTTTGCATATATTTATTAGAATAAATGCGTTTTGTTTGATTGTATTTCTTGTGCAAAGTTTAATCAGTTTCATACAAAAAGTGTTCTCATAACAGATTATTTTTTCAATAAACACTCTCAACAAAGTGTAACCATGTAAATATAATTATGCAAGCAGAATTATTCAAATAAGACTGGGTTAGTACAGATCCTTGATTTTCAACTATTTTCCTTTAGTTTGTAAAGGCGGATATTACGGATTAAACTGTGAACAAGAGTGCAGTAAATGTAAAAATGGAACATTCTGTCATAACATCACAGGGATCTGTCCTCTTGGATGTCAAAATCACTGGAATGGATCGAAATGTGATGGTAAGAGATAACCTTGCTTTTAAATGACAAACCATTTTTAACGTTGCCAAGATTATTGTAAAGTTGCATTATTATACTATATGATCTTTAGAAATCGCAATTATCTAAAATCATTTTGAAAATTTATGTTCGTTTTGTCTTTCCTCATAGTTTGTGAAAATGGCTTTTATGGTACCTATTGCTCTACGAAGTGTGGTCGTTGTAAACCTGGAACGTATTGTCACAATGTAACAGGAATTTGTCAAGAAGGATGTAATGATAATTGGGACGGTGTTAAATGTAACTGTATGTACTTTTGAGCAAAAAAACAAAACAAAAAGACACTTTTTTGCGTGTCAAATTATTTAAATAATTCATAATATAAATTGTCTCAATACTTCCATAGAATGAAATTTTTTAATAATGGTGCATATTTTACATTTTTCTTTATTTAATTATCAATATATTGTTATTGTTAGGCAAACTTAACGAATTTAAAATAATGTTGTTTTTTTTCTTCGAACTATCAATATATTGATTCTGTTTATTGTTCTTTAATATATATGTATCCTAAAATGTATTTTGGAAGTGTGTAAAAATGGATTTTATGGTGACAACTGCAGAAAGACATGTGGTAATTGTAAACCTCGAACGCATTGCCACGATGAAACAGGAGTTTGTCTAGAAGGATGTGATGATCATTGGAATGGTTCTCAATGCAATGGTATGATGTTATGATGTCCAGTAAATTTAAAAATTACGAGAAGAAAGAATAGAAAATCGATATCTTCCATAGCAAGGGGGGGGGGGGTATAAATATACAGTGAAGAAGAACAAGAGCATTTGATCTGCAGAGATATTCAGGGACGCGCGTAAATCCTAAGTGTAAATGTTCTTATATGGTCATATGAACATGATGATATGAAGTAAATCACAATGTTCAGTGACACAGCGCGCTTATGCTTGCTTACTTATCCCGTCTCCTTTCTTAAAACAAGCCTCAAGATGAAGTTCGGCTACATAAAAATTGTTTACATATATTCTGCTTCTGATAATATCTATAAGTGATATTGGTAGAGAGGGTCACTGTACAAATTTGAATAATTTTTTTTATGGATATTATAAAATTTTTATGCATAATGAAAATAATTTAATTTTATTGAGCAACCCTTTCTAGCAATAATATTTAAAGATATTTTCAGAGGCGGAATGAATGCTTCGTTCATTTAGCTGTCCTTCATATCGGAACGTGTTGCAAGGGGGGGAGACGGCAAGCATTAGCACATCATGTCAATAAAAATGAGGTTACGAAGTACACGTCATAGAATATGTCAGCGGTTCAAATGATCTTCTTAGCATGACGTTCACATGAAGTTGTCTTTTATGAAAATATTTCAACAGATAACTCTAGTTCACACGAGGACTCTTCTGAAATGATTGAGTCATTAACTTTAACTCCATATTAAAAGAAAATATTTCTTGATCTTCATATATTTTGAGTCGAAATTCTATAAAACTTACACAAAAAGAAGTCGCTAAAATAAATAAGAGATGTTTGTGAAACCACTATGCCCCCCCCCCCCCCCTATAATTTTATGGAATTTTTCAAAGTCCAAGGGCATAACTCTGTCAAAAATTGCTCGATCGTACCTAAAACAAAACTTGACCTAGATATTCTTATGATAAATCTGTATGCCAAATTCCATATGAGTATGTGTACACAGCTAATTGTGCCACGTACGTGTAACGTATGGTAGCACATACCACGTACGTGAAACGTGCGGTTGGAATACACATATGTGTTACGTACGTTTCACGTACGTGTTACATATGGTATGTGCTACCACGCGTTACACGTATGTTTATAAACGCATGGTTTACATGTGTATTGTCAACCACACGTTACACATACGTTAATGAACATGTGGTTTACATGTGTATTGTCAACCATACATTACACATACGTTAATAAACACACGGTTTACATGTGTATTATAAACCACACATTACACATATTTCACACACAGGATTTACATTTATCATCAACCACACGTTATACATACGTTAATATATGCATGGTTTACATGTATTAAAAACAACACATTACATGTACATTAATGACAAGTATGAGTGTTATCAGCTATGTTACATGTAGGTTAATAAAAATTGTTTTACATGTGTGTGAAAAGCTGGCTGTGTTTGAGAAGTCTGTATATTTTCTATATTAATGGTACTTTTACATACATGAATATGATAAATGTAGGTCAACTATAATTAAATTCAATCCTTTTTAATTTGTTTAATTAATTAGTAAAATTATTATTTAATTTTTGTCAACAAGTGAAAAAAATCCCTAAAAGTTTTATTGTTGCTGAGACTATATAATATTCTTAAACTGGTGACATTTTCAAATACTGTAACAGGAACTTTTTGTACAAAAGTACACCTCAGACCAAATACTTTTTTTTACTTAATAGTTCAGAGTGAATTTGGAGAACTAATCAAGATAATGTTTAACAATCAACAGGTCTGACACAATCTCTTGATTAAGCTTTATAGCTTGAAATAGCTATATAGCTTTATTAAGCTATTCAAAATAGCTTGATAAAGCTATTTATATGCAGGTTTTCACAAAAATGTTATTTGTACAAAATAGACAAAAAGTCGCAAGTATTTGACCATTCATATGTAATATGGGTTATCAAATCAACAACCCAAAACCAAGATAGTTCAAACATTGCATCATTTGAATACTTTTAAGCAAAAGATGAATTTCCATTGTTTGGGTAACTGTACACTACCTTGTGTGAGTTGAGGCATGGATAAGTATGATTGCTTCTCATTGTACTGAATTATTACCAATCAATTATCTTGTTGACCATAATTGGCCTCCTTTATAATTTCATTGAAGAGGTAACTGTATCAATTGCTTTATATAGCCCCCAAAACTTTTAGAACTTTGAGTACAAAGTCTCTTAAGGAGACGCAATTTGATGAGTGATTTTTACATGCATTATTTTCATAAGAGTTCAAGGTTGAATATCATCACTGCACCAAGGTGCGACTTTTTGTACATACTTGGAAAATAACACATTTGAGAAAAAAGTGTGATAAAATAGCTAAATCAAGCTATTCTGAATAGCTTAATAAAGCTATATAGCTAAATCAAGCTATATAGCTTAATCAGGAGATTGTGCCGGACTTGATCAATAACCTGTAATTCATGAAACAGAGTACTGCGACCAACTTGGTCCAAGTATAAAATCCCTCTTAAAATGGGACCCTAGATCATAAGTTGCGTGGATTTTAATCATTATACTGTAATATATTTTAAAGATTTAACTTTTTTTTCAAAAAAATAATATCATATCATGATCTATGATAATGATGATTAAAACCCAATCACCTCTGAAAGCTCACAGGTGTGTGTATTGTTGACTTCTTGTGCGTGTTTTGCGTCTTTAATGTTCCAATTTATTTCACATTGTTTACCTTACGTCCACTTGCATGACTGACATGGAGTAATCGGTTCGCTTTGGTGTATAATTTACTCTTAGAACAGTAAAACATAGTCTACATACAAGTACACCAATCTCGTAATATGTATATCGGATATCGGTAGAGGCACATAAAATTGAACTCGATCATCGGTAGATATAATCATTCCGAATTCAGGAGCAAAAGCTGAATTTGAAAAACAAAAAAAAAGAAAATCACGATAATTTCACAACAGAACTCAAATGGAATTCACCTAAATAGGTATTACATAATTATACAGTTGGTAGCGTCCGTATAACACTAAATATGTAAAATGTACGTTCCGGAATTTTATTTACGTTAACGGGTGACGTCACTGGTAAGAAGTCTGACGTCTGCAAGATAGTGTCTGGAGTTAGGCTAGGAGTAACGGTGAGGAATATACATAACATCAACAGTTATTTATTTACTTTATATTTCAGACTGTGTTGCATGTAAACTAACGGGTGTGTTTCTTTTATTTTAGTGTATAACCACAGGAGTCGGCAGTTTTATCCATAAAGCAACGTAAACAACAACCAGTGAGCTTCGCGAGCAATGTAAACCTAGTATACCAAATAAGTAAGAAATTATTGACGCAGTCAACTGTCTTGGTCAGCACCCCAGCCCAGATGTGAATCAACACTGGCACATTATATCAAAATTAAGGTGTGGTATAAAACATACTGTTATAAAAAATATTTATTGTAAGATTTTTTTTAGCCTACCAATAAGATGCAATAAAACCCTTGATGGAAAAAGTTCCACCCACCCAATGTATTTCTTTACAAAACATGTAGAGGAAATATAAATTATCTTTTAGGGCAATAAGGGTGTAACACTTATTTTTCAGATGTCTTTTTCATACAGTCCTTATGAATATAAATAATGTATTTTGAGATTGTGATTTTTTATGTGATTTTAAATGTACACTCCAGGATGGTGGCTGAAGCTCATCTCCTATGTAAACACCTAAATGCCAAGTCTGGACTTCAAAAACAGATTCTGAAAGTTTAACCAGCATTATGGTAAAACTCTTAAAAAAGAAATCAAATTTTCTGATCCCATTGCTTTTAGACTTGCAATTTAATACATATAATATCATGTAATGATGTGCATTACATTTCAATCACAAGAGGAGAAAATGTTAAATGTTATCAGTAAAATAAGTAATTTTTCATATTGTTTGTTTTGCTTTACAAGTCTGAAATGCAATTTTTTTTTTACATATATTTTCTTTTTTACCCCAAGGACAAAAAGTATACACTTTGAACAGACACAAAAACATATAGGTCCATGCCAAGCTATGAAAGATTTATGCTGAGGGTAAGTTCTATTATTATATAGAATTTAATTGTCAGACATATGGTTATGTCTAAAATTTTACTGTTGTATTTATATCAGTGATAAGCAATATTTTGCACCTGAGCTGACTTACATGTAATCACAAAAAAATGTTATAACTAATTAGATAACCTGAGTCAGTCATGACCTATTGCTATCTGTTTTTAGCTCACCTGAGCTGAAAGCTCAAGTGAGCTTTTGCTGATCACATTTTGTCTGTAGTCTGTCTGTCTGTCTAGCTGTCCGTCTGTCTGTAATGAAATATATGTAAACTTTCACATTTTCGACTTCTTCTCCAGAACCACTGGCCTATTTCAACCAAACTTGCCACAAACCATCCTTGGGTAAAGGGGATTCAAGTTTGTTCAAATAAAGGGCCACACCCTCAATAAAAGGGAGATAATTAAGAAATAGTGAAAATTTAGTGGGATGTTTTAAAAATCTTCTTCTCAAGAACCACTGGGCCAAAAAAGTTGAAACTTATAGGAAACCTTGTATGTCAAAGTGTAAATTCAAATTTGTTTAAGGGGATGAAGGACACATGGTCACATGACTTTGTTAAACTACGTCATAGTCTCCATTTATGTAAGTGCAAAACGTGTAAAGCATCAGTTCTTGTATAAATTTTTGACAATTTTTTTTCTTTAATTACCATCTTATATTATAAAAAATAATAAGTTTAACATTCTTGTAAACATTAACAAATTATGAAAAAAGATTGATCCACTCCTCTGTTTCTTTAAACTGCGCGTCCAACAAGTCGGTGACGTCATACACGATCTGCTAGTACAGCAAGATCATACTCAGTGAATTCAAGGTCGGTATTATTATGTAAAAACAGGTCATAATCAGTATATGATGAAGTATTTTGAGAAACGGGGAACACAAAAATTATTTTTGCATGGCTGATGACGGAAATCTTACGTAGGTATATCTTATTTCGCTTATTTAGCTTACATGTGACGTCATAGTTGGTTTTTCCCGTACTCGAGAAATGTAAACATGACAAGTTTTTGTCCTGCTTATGTCGTCTTTAACGATGTCCTGTGCAATATTTAGGTCAGCTTCACCATTCGAAATTTTTACAGTTAATCAATAATTTGAAGGACTTGCATTTCAACGTAAATTTAGAAATATTGAATGATAGGATTTTTTGTAAATTACGGTTTTTGTTGTTTAAGTTGTCTTAAAAAGTTCGTAGTTTTCCCTATCCAGATGCAGTGTGATAGACGAAACTTGCCTTTTCGAATTTTAAACCCAATTCATACTCTGAAATATTTTAAAAGATACATGATCACTTACATATTTTTTATATATGCTTTAAAAATCCAATTATGGACAGAGTAATGAGCCCGGAAACATGGAGAATTAAAACTCCACTTAGATACTGTAGGGCATAATATTTGTCAACCAATATCTCTAAAATAAGGTAAGAAACCTAATGATATAACTGCTTTAAGATATGTGGGACATACTTAATAAGAAATATACAAAATATAAAAAAAAATTGAATGACAAGTATTTTTTCAGCTAAAGGTCCTTCTTCCCCTTAAATCATGAGCCCTGGGTTTGGTTGGGGCCACAATGGGGGATCAAAGTTTTACATAGGAATATATAAGAAAAAATCTTAAAAAATCTTCTTCTCAAGAACAGCAAAGCCTTGTTTAGTCATATTGATAAGGAAGCATCATCAAGTAGTGTAGATTCAAGTTTGTTCAAATCATGACCCCCCAGGGGTAGGGAGGGGCCACAATGGGGATCAATATTTTACATAGGAATACATAGGGAAAAAAACTTTAAAATTCTTCTTCTCAAGAATAGCAAAGCCATGAATAGTCATTTTGAAATGGAAGCATCCTCAGGCTGTGTAGATTCAAGTTTGTTTAAATCATGATCCTCTGGGGATAGGATTGGACCATAACGGGAGATCAAAGTTTTACATAGAACTAGATGAAATCCCGCGCAAGCGCGGGGAATTGAATTTATACCACTACCGACAGAAAAAATCTAATAATAATATTATATATATTGTAGTTTCTACTGACAGCCTACAGGCTTATAACTGGAAGAAATACTTTGTGAAGTAGAAGTACGTCTCCACCCCCACCCCCCCACCCCCCCCCCCACCCCGCCCGTGTAAAACTTAAATAACAATATCATTAATTGCCGTTTATTGAGAAACCTGTTATATACTATGTTATGGATATTGTATATACTATGTTATGGATATTGTACTTCAGATGCTCTTATTTCATTTCCGTCAAGAATAAAAGCAGTGAATATGCACATTTTACTGAGAAATAGATTTTTTTGGGTAAAAATTCACAGGTACTTGGGTCTTGGTTTATAAATATGTATGTACCTTATTGATATGTAAAAACTGTACCTTACCTCTTTTTTTAACATATCAATAAGGTACATAAATATTTATAATCCAAGACCCAAGAACCTGTGTAAAAATTAGCTTTTATATAACGCCCTATGAATACAATGGCGGATTTAGAGGGGGGCCAGCCCCCCTCCCATTTTGTGTCCAAAATATACATAAAATTTAATAAGTCAATTTTTTTGGTGTGTGTCCGTGACCCCTACCCCAATCCCAAACTGGTTGCCCCCCCCCCCTTTCAAGATTCCTGGATCCGCCACTGCAATGGGCCGAGTATTTGATACAAAAGACTGAATTTCAAAAAAAAAACTGAAATGTATTGATTAAAGCAAAATTTTACAGCATAATTGTATTTGAATAATGCCTAATTCATTAATATTCTCTTTTCATGTAAGCAAGTTTATTACGAAGTACAAATTGTACTTCGGGTTCGTTGCCACGATGCTCTCAATGAGGAATATATATACAAATTTTACCGATAAATTTATTAGGAAAACCTACTACATATATGTAATAGTAATATATAAATATATTCACAACTTACAGTGTTATCAATGATTTACCATTATTTCAAAGACCATTCACACAAAAGCTTTTTTATGTTAAAGCAGCTATAATCACCTCGTTTTTCTTTTTAACATCGGGCTCGATGCTATATGATGTTCTAGAAGTTTCCGTCAATATTACGATCGGTGAATGACGAAAATAATCTGCACATTTCCCTTTTTAATCGATTATCACAACTTATTTCTTTTATATCATTTAAATCAAGTTTTGATTGAATAATTCAGTAATAACGTTTAATGAAATAAATAAACGATTGCTTGTTGTCAGTTTCATTAAAAATTGCCAGTAACTTAGATCCGCCAACCGGAAACGCCACCGTACTCACGTTTTTGCTATTTCATGGCTGTTTATAGAAAATAAAAGTAGACTTTTAATTTAATGTACGATACTTACAATGCAAGTGAAATCTAAATATAGTTTACGGACATCATCTTGTATCGTGTGTATTCTTAGAGGAGTAAGTAAGAACTCTGGTGCACCCGTTTCGGAGTTTATTTGCAAAATTTATTAATTTATAAGTATAGATATATAGGAAAAAATCTTCTTCTAAAGAACAGAAAAGCCATGATCAATCATGTTTATATGAAAGCATCATCAGGTAGTGTAGATTCAATTTTGTTCAAATCATGAACTCTGGGGTAGGGAGAGTCCACAATTGGGGATCAAGTTTTTACAAAGGCATATGTAGGGAAAAACCTTTAAAAAATTTCTGCTCAAGAACAACAAAACCATATGTTATATTAATATTTCTTGTGGCTTGCGGGTGTGTCATCACCTTGACCCAAGGTCATTTGGGCAAGTTCAAGGTCACTGACAGAAAAAAATCATAATTTGTGTTTACACAAAGATTGCTTATGACCTAAAGGTGTGTCATGACCTGACCCAAGGTCATTTGGACAAGTTCAAGGTCACTGACAGAAAAAGTTCATAATTCGTGTTCGGTCTGTATCTTTCCTATGGAGGATAATTTTGGATGTTGGGAGTATCCACTTCACACAAAGATTGTTTATGACCTGAGGGTGTGTCCTGATCCTGACCTATAGTCACATACTGTAGAAAAAATGGATAAATAATGCATCCATACTTTCCAACAGAGAAATACTTCAAAAATGGTTATTAATTTTTCAATGTAATAAAAAACAATATTATTATTAGTATTGCTGTTTTACTAGGCTATGCCAAAGTTTCATTCATTAAAAAAATATAATGAGCAATTACTGGTAAATTTTCTTTCTAAATGTATAAACAATTTTTGAACACCTTTTAGATCCTAAAATACTAGTATTAGTGACTTGGCATCTTCTCTGAGAAACCCAGTGGGGGGTATTTGTCCATATTGGACAGTTCTAGTTTAGTTCTAAAGGAAGTCAACCAGGAGTTATCTGTAGAAAATAATAATGTTCTGAAAAAAAAAACTATGTGTTGTTCCATATGCAAATTCATTTAATATTTTCTTTTTCTTTACAGATGAAAGGGAATTGCAGAAGAATGAATTGATGTTAACATCTCAACATTAAAATTGGCTTAAATTTGAATATGTCTTTTGTTGTGATTGCCTAAAGAGCAATTAGGATCAGGAAATTTGAGGTGAAGGATATCCAGATATGTACCTTCAAAATGTGGATCATTCAACAGATGAAAAGAAAATAAGCCCCTGAAGAAAATTATGTCAAATGCATGAAATGAATATTTTAATTGCACATCATTTTTGTTTCACGTATGTTTACAATATATATGTGAAAAACAATGTTCGGTGGTCAAAACATATGTTTAACCATGGTTTGGCACATGTATGGTACTTATACATTTATCATATGAGCAGTGCATTTAACAAACATGTTAAACGCATGTTTCTAAAAACATACGTTACACACACGTTGAACGTACATTATTCATACGTGAACCATATGAATAACGTATGTGTGCAACATGTGTGTAACGTATGGTAGTCAATACGTATGTTTAACGTATGTGTCACGCATAATATTCATACGTGTGAAAACGTACGTTTAGCATACGTGGTGCTTTTTTCATGTGATACGTACGTGAAGTCACGTACGTATCACATACGTTTAACGTACGTGATACGTACGTGGCACATTTTGCTGTGTAACCTCTGCAAAATGATCGGAAACTGCAAATAATTGGAATTTTTAACAGTCCAAGGAGCATAACTCTGTCAAAAATTGTCCGATCGTACCCAAAACAGAAACTGACCTAGATATTCTTATGATAAATCTGTACATTAAATTTCATTGTGTACAACATCTGCGAAGAAAATTAACGGAAACTGTTGGTGGAACAACAGACAGACAGACTTGAAGACCGACCGACAGACAGCAGCAAAGCAATATGCCTTCCTTTCTTCGAAAGGGGGGGGGGGGTTAAAAGTAACAACTTACAATGTGTGCATTGGACTTAGTATCTCCTTTACTACGTGTAAGATAATGATTTTTTTATTGTATTTCGTGACTGCACCGGTTAACCCTTACCGGTTAAACGCATTAATATTCGTTTAAATAACAATAATAAAGTATTGTTTAATTATTTCTTGTTTTTATTTCTTGTTCTTTTTTGGTAAATAGATATGCCGATTTTCTTCCAAAGGCGTTCATCAGAAAGGAGAATAAATGCAAGTCTCTATAATTCTCAAACAGGCCTCGTAACATAAGAGTAAAACAATGCAGTCAGTACATATACGTGGGTTATTAGAAAAGTTCGCGGACACATTGATTTACGGAAAATAAATTGTGTTCTTTGATGAATGACGTATATTTAATCAAATTTTTATCTTTTGTTTATTTGTATGTAAAAAAAATCAGGTCAATATACTAAAATTGAAAATATACAACGGTTTTTACTGTGCGGGCATAGGATTCACGGTACAATTACTTGACGTTTTATGAGTTAGGTGATGTAACGGCCTGATTCCAGACCTGTTATTCTTTTTCAGAAAATCTAAATATCTTTCATTTCTATTGAGTTTTCGTGTCTTTTTCTTACTTACAAATCAAATAACTTTATCAAGACATGTTATATTTTTTTCTAAAATGTCTTTTGTGGCGAATCGAATATTTTTGAGATCTTAAAAGCAATGTCTACCCAGTTCAGCGATCAGGTATAAGAAACAATATAATATCCATGTGCGCAACGTCCATGCGATAAGTAGGACATTGGAGTATCGCAGGAATTGATAATCAAAAATGTCAATCCTTCCATTCTTACAAAGTTGCTACCACTTAAACACTTTGGTACTAGATATGTGTAGGCAATCCCAAGCAGCATATAAAAACAATTTAGTCTCTTTTCCTGTCTGCAGACATATTTTTTAATCAGCTCCATGCTTCAAAACGTTCAATGACTTTCCCATTCTTGACTTTGTTTTTATGCATTGATCATCTATAATTAATGATAAAACTCCTCCAGTATAATCCAAACTTTCGCCAAGTGACGTTTTATGAATATTTTAGTGAAAAGTGTAATAATATAAATTTTTATGTGCCACAACAGTGCAATTTTTAATTTCAAAGAAAGGTCTCTGTAATGTAAAGGTGCGAAGAAGTAACATGATCCGTGAAACATCTTTTTTCTAAATGAACTAGCTATATATATATTTTTAAAGATCATCAGAAAATACCAAATCTATGCATATTGATTGGAAAATACGTATAGTTTTTATCTGCAGAGTTTTACTGATTTCCTGCAAATAACGCGCTCACAATAGATGTTTTCTAACAACTCTCGTACATGTATGTTCACATGGAATGCGAATTATGAATAATTATACTTTGAACATTTCTTCCTGAAGCTTGTAAGAGCGGCTATTACGGACAAAACTGTGACAGAACTTGTGGTAAATGTAAAAGTGGAACCATATGCGATTACATCACCGGAATCTGTCCAGAAGGATGTCAAGGTCAATGGAACGGATCAAACTGTGATTGTAAGAGATAGTTATTCATATACGTAAGAGATTAAAAAAAATAACCATGCATTTCAATGGTGTGTACAATGTAAAATGGAATATTAAGAAATCAGTAATAGCTTTATGTTTATATTGAAATTAAATTAAATATTGATATAAGATTTTTTTTTCTAAAGTATGCCAAGATGGATTTTATGGTGAAGACTGCACGAGGACGTGTGGTCATTGTTTTTCGGAAACTTTCTGCAATAAAATAACAGGAATTTGTCATAAAGGATGTGATGTTCATTGGAACGGTTCTACATGTAACGGTAAAAAACAACAACGCATGCAGAAAATACACTTCTATAGCTTTTTCATGTATGTTTTGAGAGCCTCAATTTTCCCATATCATAAATAATTTTCAAAATACCTCACGTTTTTCAATCTTTTAAAAAAATAATTGTATTGTAAATAAAACTTGTTTATGTTTTAGGTCACATGAAACCTTCAAATGACCTATTGCTATCACTTTTGTCTGTCATTGTGCGTTTACTGACGTATACTGCATGTCGTCCGTACATTTTGTCATTTTATTTTTGTTTTTGAACTTTTTTACCGATTTCTATAAAATTGACATAAAACATCTTTGGGCGAGGTAAAAAAAATTTGAATCTCATTTCCATACTCCCTTAGGTTTAATGGGCTGGGCTAAAATAAAAAAAAAATAAAATAAAATCTGCAACCTTTGAAAAACTTCTTCCAAAATTGTGAATACAAGGTTTTAATGAACCAGAATGTATTTTACGGAAATAAAGACTCCTCACCACTTGGCCAAGGGTTCTGGTGCTGAGCAGAGTAATACTGATTATGAAGGGGAAATTTTTACTCCATTCAGAAAACTCTTCCAATTTAAATTACTTTAAAATGTGATTGTAAGATCAACTAACTAAAAAAAAAGATTTTTTTTTATAATTCAAAAAGGATTTTATAGTTTTTTATATTGTAATGTAAATGAAAAAAATGTAAATTTACTAAAGAAAATCGAGACAAAAGTATTTTTCTTTAATTTGAATATTATTGAAACATAAAGAAATGCCTAATTAAGAGGGATTGTGCTTGGTTTACTATCGGTAAATTGTGTCTGGTGATTAGCACAGTCAGGTTAAAACAAATTAATAGATTTACCTAATGAGTTGTTGCTGAGTACTAATTCAATTATTGAGTTTATTCTGATCATCATATTTCTACATCGATTTGGAGAAACATATTTTCATCCATAAAGATATTTCGGATTTTTTTAACTATTTCTTTTTTTGTTTGGGCCCTTTACAGAAAGGTATTATACTCGAATGTCCGTTGAAACTCTTACTCCTTCTGATTATGAACCTTTTTAGTGTGTAAAAATGGTTTTTATGGTGACAACTGTACAATGACATGTGGTCATTGTAAAGCTGAATTGCATTGCCACAACATAACGGGCATATGTACTGATGGATGTAGTAATCACTGGGACGGTCCTCAATGCAACGGTAAGTTTAAAAAAAATGAACATCATAAACCTCATATAATTAACATAATCAAAATTAAAATCCATTCACCACAATTAGATAAAAATGTCAACGAATATATAATTTTATGAATTATTTGGATACTCTTGCATTTGAAAACAATTAAGCATTAAGGCAAAATCATATTGATTCCAGTAATTTCAAAAATATTTTTTTAGCCATATCAGTATGTAAATTGCTTCTGTATGAGACTTCGTTTAAAATAAATAAACTATATTCCTAATGGAATGAATCTTCTAAAATGTGCATTTAGATGCTTGTGAACTCTTCTAAGAACATTAAATTTATGTCATATAACTGTAGTTTGCAGAGTTGGCTTCTATGGAAAACGTTGCGAAAAGCCTTGTGGGCGTTGTGCAAATGAAACATATTGTGATAAGATTACAGGGAAATGTCCGGAGGGTTGTCAGGATCATTGGAAGGGAATCAAGTGTGATGGTAAGTGGAGATTTTTATTCACTTAGTCATAAGTCTATTTACAGTCTACAAATGCTTGTCAAAAATATGAAAGTCGACTTATTAAATGATATTTAAATTTTACAATCACTACCGCAAACACTGATAAATAAAGCAATTCGCTGATTCAATAACGCGTGTTCTTTGTGACAGAGTAAAACCAATGTATACTGAATTACAGAAACAAAAATAAAACATCTATACTTTTAGTTAGGGATGCCAGAATATTTATTTTCTTTATTCGACTGCAGTATTTGTAGATAGTCGAATATTCGGAATATTTTCGGAAAATAAAATATAATTTAAAAGTTCACATGACGTATTCATAATTCAAAAACCCTTTTACTTACAAAGTAACTTCAAATGTCTATATGTTACAGACAGATGCCCAAAGCTAGGCACCTAACCTGTGGGAAGCGTGTTTATTTTAGATCGCTAATATCTCCAAAATGTAAAATTTCCCCGTCAATAACATTCACAAAACGGTATGTAAAGTCAGTTGTTTTTTTTTTTTACGTAAGCGTCGCCCGCGTGGCGCAGTGGTTAGAGCGTTCGCTCTAGAATCGCGGAATAAGGAGTTGATCCTTACGTCACGGGTTCGAAT